CCAGGCTGAGCCAAGCCCTGGGCTGCTCCCGGAGCCTGATCCGGGTCCCAGCGCTGCCAGGAGTGCCCGGTGCCAGCTGTCCCGTGCAGGAGCTGCGGTGTCACCGCTGTCACACAGCCCTGTGCTGGGCGCTCAGATTGCCACCCGAGGCCAGCTCAGATCCAGCAGAAAGGCTCTGGTGCTCCCTCCTCTCCGTGGGCTCAGTGTGCAGAGGTGTGGAGCTCCCCGAGGCAGGCASAGGGSTCTCTCTGGGCTCTCTCTGGGCCCCCCTACACGTCGGTCTCGATGCGCAGCCGCTCCATGCGCCGCACGTTGCCCTCGGCGGCCACGCGGCTYGTGATGGGCCGGGCACAGGACTGGGGGAACCAGCCCCGCTCCCCATCCCGCAGCCGCTCCCCCCAGCACCAGCCTAGGAGAGAGTAAAGGGGGTGACACAGCCAGGAAGGGCCACGGACCCTGGGGATGTGTCTGTTCTGTCCCATGGAGGTGCTGGCTGGCAGGGAAAGCTCRGCAGGTTTCTGATTTACTGCCCCCCTTCTGGGGTCTCTGCTGCTGGTGCCAGCCACAGCCCCACTCCCACACAGGAGTCACCCTAAGGAGCACAACTGCCCATGGCAGTGGCACCTCCATCAGCCCTGGGACCTGCACAGCACCAGCCAGTGCCACGGGTCTCACCAGCAGCCAGTGTTTGTTGGAAGATTCTSCAATTGTTAAAATCCCAGTTCCCGGGGATCACTGAAGGTTCAGAGCCAGCCCTGGCCGCAGCCCCGAGCACTCACCATCCTCTCCACCCAGCACCAGGACAACGTCTGCCTGCTGCAGGGACAGCTCGTCYGCCTCCTTGGCCAGGTAGGCGCGGGTGATCTCCACCTGGCTCAGCTCTGCAGGACAGGGGACAGCAGGGACAGTGAGCAGGCACAGCCCGTGCTCAGCCATGACTCCCAGCTGCCCACTCACAGCGTGCTCTGTTCCCTCCTGTCCTGCCCCTCACCCCTCCAAGCTTGTCAAACCTCCTTTTACAACAGCAGCAGGCATTCCTGGAATTCCACTGTGCCTCCCAGGAAATGCATTTAAGGTTAATTGTGACTGATAATGGGAGGCAACTTCTAAAGAGAAAAGCACTGAGATTTTCTCTCCATTGCCAAGAGTGGAGGAGAACCAAGTAGAAAGCCAGGCCTGCAATGCTGCAGTGTGACAGGTGACCCCAGCAGAGCCAGGCTGCCCCTGGCACACGGTACCTCCTTTGGGAGTGGGGTCAGGCTTCTCCTTCTCCCTGTGCATCAGCGCTGCGATCCAGCGGGCCCGGTCACTCCTGCCACAGGGAAACACARAGAGAGCTTTAGGGACATTCCCAGCAGTAGCTGGACATTCCCARCAGGATGAACRCTTTCCAGGGRAGTCAGATTGGGCAAGCTTTTGATSAGAATATTCAGTGTAAAGACAGTTCCCAAGTGGAACACACAGCCCAGATGCTTTGCCTCACTCAGACAGGGGAAGCTGATATGGGAATTATATGGGAAATCCAAGAGAGAGGAAGGAACAGAGCCTGGGAGCCTGTGCTCCTCCCATTTCTGGGAGAAGGAGTGTGAGGGAATGGAGAGCTTTGCAGAAGCCTCAGAGGATTCCCAGAGCTCATTTCAGAGCAGAGCAAAACCCCAGCGAGGCACTCACAGCGTCTCTGCCGACAGCACCACCTCCTCACGCCGGCCCTCGCTGTCCTTCTCCAGCACCACCCGCAGCAGGTGCCCACCAGCCTTGCTGGGAGGAGGGGAGGGTGGATCCGAGCTCTCCACCTTCTCCACGGTCACCTGSTCCAGCGTGGCGTAGTTCATCACCGTGTAACTCTCCTCGCTGTGGCACAGATGGGATCAGCGCCTCGGTTTTGGGGTCGGGGCCGTGTCCCGGCTCCGAGCCCGGCACAGGAGGCTCAGCAGGCACTGCCAGMGCAGCCTGGAGCTGATGGCCAGGGTGGGACATGGCTCTGGGGACTTGCTGGCCACCCACCCACAGAGCCAAGGCCACCAGTGGGACTGGGCGCTTCCCTCCTGGCTAACAAGGGACACCTCAAAAAGGTCCAAACAGGGAAATCCCATGGATTCCTCAGCTGTGTGCTGCTTGGGAAATGGGAATTTAACCCCCTAGCGCCCTCCCTGCAGCCTCACCTCTTCTTCTTGGTGATGATGAGGACGTCGTTGAACAGGAAGAGGTGGCAGAGGCGGCCGGCGCCGCGGCGGAATTTGCCGGATTCCTCGGAGAGCAGCAGGTGCAGCTCGCCGCGCTTCAGCAGCCARCGGGACACCGAGATCAGCGGGAAKGGCTGCAACAGCACCAGCCACAGCCTGGGTCACTGCCCTTCTCACCAACAAGGCCAGCAGGGAACCCGCAGCGGCCCTGGGGTCAGTTGGGATGGACACATCGCGTGGTTTTAATTCTCTTTTYCAAAGGGTTTTCCTGGAGGTAAGCGGAGGGTGCGGCACACCCAGAGGTGCAGCACTGGGACCCCAACACAGGGTGACAAAATCATGGCTTTGCCACACCCTTCAGAAACTGCCTGCATCCAACAGCCCAGAAGGATCCTCAGGACAGGTCTGACCTGCCTGAACAYAGCTCGGAAGAATTCTCACCACCATTTCCACAAGACCTCACCTTCTTCTTTCCAAATTCCAGCTGTTTCTGCAAGGTGTACATCTGCTCTGTCCTCTCCATYGCCCGAGCTCCCTCATTGCAGCTCTTCACCAGCTGGGAAGAGAAAAATATCACCAGGGAAATGGAGGAATGTTGGACACTGTGCCCATCCACCTCCCAAACCACCCCCAGCATCAGGGACTGCCCTATTTCCCTGAGGAAGCCTCAGAGGTTGAAGCTCARGACTCCTGTGCTCCACAATTCCCTCTCTGCTTCATTCCCTGCTCTTTGCCAAAATCCACAAAACCCACGGTGAGAGTTGTCCCAGGAAGGACAAAGACAGGCCTTAGAGGAAAGAAGAGAGAGGACAAGAAAAAGGGGAAAAAAACCAGATCTGGTGACAAAAAAGGGAAAAGAAGTGAGGTAAATTGCTTGGCATAGGTCTCAAGGAAGGTTTGGGAAAAGGCAGAGGGATGCTCTCCTGGAGAGAGATGGCACATGGACTCTGCCTGGAGAAGGACTGAAGAGAACCTGCACCAAAACTGAGGAGCAACAGGAAGAGGAAGAATGAATCATCTGAGGAGAAGAGCTCAAGGCAGGAGGATGGACAATCAGATGGAGGAGAGGAATGCTCGGATTTGAGAGTGGGACAGACTGGGAGCAGCAGGAATGTGCTCTCAGAGCTGCTCTTCAGGGCAAAGGAAGGAATACTCTCCACTGGCACGTTGGTGGCTGCAGTCTCTGTCACCCACTGCCCCGTGTGACCAGTGGATGGGAAATCCCAGAGTATGGACAGCACAGGGCTCAGGACTCCTGTGCTCCACAMTTCCCTCTCTGCTTCATTCCCTGCCCTTTGCCCAAATCCCCAAAAGCCATGGGTGAAAGCTGAACCAGGAAGGACAAAGATGGGCCAAAGAGGAAAGAAAAAAAGAGGACAATAAAAAGTGAAAAAAACAAGATCGGGTGACAAAAAAGAGAAAAGAATTAATCCAGCAGCTCTTTGGAGTAGAGAAATCTCAAGTGAACCGATGTTGGGAGGGAAATGAGGGGCCAGGTTGGATCAGTGCTCCAGAGGGCTGAGCTGGCAGGAGGAGAGGTGGAGGGCTCACCTTGCTGATGGCCTTCACAGCACGGGTGGCAGCTCCATACGCTGCAGAGTGAGCGTTTGTTTTTTGCTGGACGGTCTGGAATTCCAAGAGGAGAAGTTTTAGTGACGCTGCAGCACAGAGCAGGGAGCAGCAGCTGCTCCCCGGGGATTTCAGGGTGTCACACGTTCACTGAGCCGTTCCCAGTGGCCAGAGGAAGGTTTAGCAGTGCTGGCAGCTGTGAATCTGAGGTTTGTCAGGTCTGACAACCCCTGGCCCTCACCCCTGCAACCCATACTGGGAGCAGCTCCCAAAAATCCCACATCCAGCACAGAGATCCCAATCTTTGCCCCTTGGAGCACGTTTCCATGAAGAATGCAAGACCTGCTTTCCATTTCTGAGCTGCCTGACCACTCATCCATCAGGACACCAATGCCACCCCACCCTGGGACCCRGATGTGGCACAGAAGAACCTCAGGTCACTCAGGTGGCATCAAGACATGAACTGTTACTCCCAGAGCTTCAAGCTGCACACCTGACACCCMCAAGARGCAGATTGCTTTGGATATAARTCACASAARATGCTGAGTTGGAAGGAACCCATTAGGATCATMAAGTCCARCTCCTGGCCCKGCACAGGACACCCCAAGAATCCCAGCATTTGTTCAAATGCTTTTCCTGAATACAGGAGCATCCAGGTTCAGAATCCCAGAGGGAAGAAGGTCCAAGCAGAGGCCGTCCCAGGCTCAGCAAACCAAAGGGGACAGCAGTGTCACCTCTTGAGAGGTGCCAAGCAATGCCACTCCATGAYTACTTACATCTAAGAGCAGAGGAAGGCGTGTTACCCTCTGCATGGGCAGAATGAGAAACGAGATCATTGGCAGGCCTCCACACTCTGGTTTCCTTTCAATTTGTTTCAGGGTCTCTTTAAATAAGGGGTTTGTGGTTCTGGAACAGGACAAGAAAGCTCTGTTAGCTCTGTTCTTCAGGTGTCAGGATTTTCCAGTGGCTCTCCACATATGGGAAATGCAGAGCAGTGATGGCACTGCCTCATTGTCACTGGGCTGGGYTCAKAGYGCCCAGCTGGGCAGAAAYGGGSMRRAAWSGGGSAGAAAYGGGGSAGAAATGGGAYTGATCCCATAGCAGATGGTGAGAAAGCACCCAGAGAGGGATGGTGAGCCCACCAAAAGGTGGGTAAAGCCACAGATGTACCAACAACAGACTCAAACTCTGCCTGGAGATGAACAGGGCCCATCAGTGTCTCTACATTATCAACCTCTGTAATCCTCAGAGCCCCTTGGAGGCAATTCCTCRGGTACCCCAAGCCCTGTACTCACAGCAGCCTATCCAGTGTCCTCTGCTGATAGACCTCGTTGGAACAGTAGCTGATGTAGGGGGTGAAGTGTTTTGAGGCGTGTTCCTCCACAATGTCACTGATGTCAGGGATCAGGAGGTGCTCCTGGTGCCGCTTCTCCAAGTCCTCAAAGAAGCTGAGGAGAGAATTTAAACAATCCCACTGTGTGACTCACTAGGGTTGGACACACTGAATGTTCCCAGTGCAGCTTTGTTCCCAGTGCAGCTTGTCCCCAGCTCTCCCAGAGGAGATAGGGCCTGGATCCTTTCTGGCAGGGCAGCTCCAGCAGTGGAGACACCCACGCCTTACCCAGGGAAAAAGGCTTCCTCCTTCCTGCACGGGATCCCTCCCCCTCATCAGCCCTCTGTGAGGTTGAGTTTCTGCCCCATCACAAGCCCTGAACGCCCCCACAGCCATTCCCAGGGCTGCTGCATCCTCCTGCTGCAGCTTTTTCACATGGACACAGCTCACCCTGCACCATCTCTCCCCAACCCAGGGAATTCCTTCAGCAATCCAAGGAAGGGCTGGTTCTGCMCTACAAATAACCCAGAGACCCCTCCCAGCCCCCAGCCCCGCTTGCCTCGTGCTGACTGTCAGGATGTCACTGATGTTGGAGAAGAGGTGGTGATGCTCTGTCTGAGTCATGGTCTCCTTCAGCTCCTCCGACCTCATGAAGTGGCCCACCAGGATGCTGAGGCTGTGCATGTAGGAGTACTCTGAAGTGATGATCTCAAACATGGCCTGGGAAGAGCAKGGCGGGGAAGATGAACAGCACAAACTGACCGGACAAAGCCGGAAATTAAAACTTGCTAAATCTCATTTACAGTCTTTTGGCATGAAGCCATCAGAAATGACTCTGCTCCAAGACGATGGTGTTCCTTGTGTCGTGTCAGCATGGCCAATAACCCCAGCGTGTTTTAGGACACTCAGTCCTTGAAAAGCCACAGCATGAGGATGTTTTCCCTTCTCACCAGCACCTGTTTCCTCAGGTGAGCTCTCCCAGCCCTGCCCAGCCCTGGAGCAGTTGGGAGCAGCAGCAGCATGAACTGAGCCCTGACAGAGCCATGGTGTCCCACAGCCTTTGGTGCCCACCCACGCTCCTGGCCCGTCCCAGGCCCCTCTCACCTCCTGCCGCTTGCGCTCCTCGGGGGAGATCCTCTGCARGATGCCTGACTCCAGGACCTGCAGAGAGAGGATGGGATGAGCTGGAATAATGGTCCTTGCACGCCCTCTAGTGCGGTCTGGGGCTGTGTCAGCTGCCCATCCCACTGCCCATCCCACCCTAAACACCCCATCCCA